CTCTCACACACACACACACACACACACACACACACACATGTGTTACTCCCTCGCTCTCCCAACCACCCCTCACCTTTGTTTTTCTTTTTTTGTTTTTAATCAACGTCATATCCCCTTTCCTCTAAAAATGTTTTTTCTCTAAAAATCCATAGAGGAGCCCCACCAATAGAATGAAGCCATCAGCTAGGCAAGGTCTCAATTCTAAGGATTCTCTCACCATTCTCTTTTTCTTTCTTTTCAATGCTTTCAATATCCTTGGAATAGAGAGCTTGCAAATGAGGTTCTTGTCAGAAAGAAGGAAGAAAGAAAAGCTGTTTGCACAACTGAGCCCTAGCGTCGTGAAATACAAAATGAGTGTCATGGCCACTACCACCTCTTGGGTGAGGTCCCATTAGCAGCCGGATTGGCGTCTGCTGAAGCCTGCCCGACAGGTTCGTTGCGATTTTTCCGGCACATGAAAATACAGGAGATGGGATAGAAAACAAGTTGTCGCCAGAACGGTAAAGAACTGCCAACTGCCGACTTCTTTTCCCTCCCCAATTATTTTGAAGGGGCTACGGCATTGAGATATCATCATTTGAACTGACAGGCCTCAGGTAATTCAGAATCACAGTATGTTTTGCTCATCTGCTTCCAGTGGAGTTCGAACCGTATACAAGTGAATAGCCTTTCTCGAGGAAGAATCCTTCGATAAGAGTCAAAAAGGTGTTCATTCTTTTTTTTTTTTTTTTTTTTTTTTTTTTTTTAAACACCCCCGCCGATGGTAGTGATGCTGATACGAGCAGACACCACTACCAGTCGGGGAGAGGCTCCATCTCACACAAAGCTTGTATGATATTTCCGTCCTCTTCTATATAAGGAGGACATGGTGAGGGAATCTTCCAGCGATCAAGCCATCCATCTAAGATAGCTGATATCCAGCGGCCCTGCTCTTTATCAGCCTCCCAATGAATTATCTCTGCCCTAGAATCAGGTGAGACCCAAATAGCTACCCCAGCTGAGCCACTTCTTGGAGTCGGGGCGCTAAGCTTATTGAATGGCCACACGATGTTATGGGCACGGGTGTGAGCAGGGGAACTAGTAAGATGTGTTTCCTGTATGCATACAGCGTCAGGCCATGTTCTTCCCCCAACCCCTTTCAGTTGTTCTAATATAGCCTTTCTCTTTTCAGCATCTGCCGTGGCTAAACCATTGACATTAAGTGATCAGAGATCCAGGTCTGCAACCCCTTTCAGTTGTTCTAATATAGCCTTTCTTTTTTCCGCATCCGCCGTGGCTAAACCATTGACATTAAGTGATCGGAGATCCAGGTCTGCAGTTTTGGTTGCACGGTGCCAAGATGGATTCTTACCATAATATGCTTGTAAAGCCTCCATCTAAACCAAAACTCCTACAAAAGAACCTCCCCCTCATATGGGCAGTCCTCCCAAAAGTGAATCACTTCACAAGAGCACTGTCTATAACTTCAGTGTCCAATGTCACTGCAGATTTGGAAGTGGTGTGATGCAGTTTGTCCGGAGCTAACAGACTCTGGCCTCTCTTGAAACATCATGTTAATCTTACTGGGGATGAGGGAGGACTTCCTCACAAAATGGACAGCCTTCCCGTACAATGTGTTTAAACTTAAACTAACAAGGCTGGCTATTTTGATGGTCATAAGTAGGGCCAGATGCTCAGTAGAAAGAAAAGAATTTGTCATTGGATTTATTCAAGCTAAAATATAAATTGCAGAAACAATCAGGGCAAATGTCGTAAACCACTAGTACCTTTGCCGTCCAGTTTCAACAAGTTTAGCCTAGTCCCAAACTTTTAGGAGGCCGGGCCCGACAACTGTTGCCGTTGATAAATCTGATTGGCGGTCGTCCTTCGGTTTCAGCCTCCTGAAAGGTGGGAGGCCCGCTATCATCCGAACCGACAAAGGTACTAGTGGTTTAAAAGCAGCATAAAACTGAGTGAGGACCTGGGGAATATGACAGGCCGGCAGCAGGAGAAGGAGGCAGTTGGAAAACCTGTTTTGGTCCTCTCCGAAAATTTAGGAGGCCGAGTGCTGTAGATAAAATGAATTGGCGGCAGACGGCCTCCGAAGGGGGCCTGCGACCGATAGCTGGCATATACTGGTGTGGTAAGGCCTTCGCTAACATCTAGCTGGATCCTAAGTTCCTAACAGCAAAATGGGTGAAATCAAAGAAGATGGGTCAATAGACGGAGCGCTCCCGCCTGACAAGGCTCGGCGGGCATCCGCTCCAGGTCCTCGAACTTGCCGAGGTCGTCTTCGTAACGGTGGAGGGTCAGGGCGGCGCGCGGCGGCGGCCATGGCAGCGAAGTTTTAGTGAGCATCGTGTCTACTGTTATCGGAGTGTCTTTGCGCGACAATAGGAACGGTGACAGAACAACAGGTAAGTTGACGTCGGTCACTTGGCTTCAGATGGAAACCTCTGACAAGCTGCTGATGCATCACTATCCAGCATGGAAGACAGCAGGCAACATCTTCAGCATATGGTCTCTCTCCTCTCTGTCTCCACTCCGCCTCCACCAGCGGTTATTGGGGGAGCGATCGAGGGAGCGAAATGGGTGGAAAATGTGATACAGACGATGTTGGAGGTTATCTGGGTGCTGGAGGAGGGGCCGATTCCGGAGCTAGACGAGTTTGTTGACTGGCGTCAGGTGGAAGCCCTGTCCAGCGATTGTTACACGCTCCTTGATGAGGGGCTCGAGCGAGGTGCTGACTGGGCCAAGCGCTCAGGAGGGGAGCTGCCAATCACCACGTTGGTCACGGTCGCACCAGCAGCACCAGCTCCAATAATCTCACCGACACCTGCAACCACGTTTTCATCACCTACATCAACGATCATTGCCCCTGTGCCTGCTACGATGAGTACATACGACTTGGGGCGTTCAATAACAGAGATGATGCAAACGACGATGACATCAGCAACATCAATCATAATTCCTACATCAACGATCATTGCCTCTGTGCCTGCCACGATGAGTGCATACGACTTGGGGCGTTCAACAACAGAGATGGCGCATACGACAATGACATCAGCGACATCAATCATAACAATAGTGCCTGTGACTAAGATGCTGACATCTGCATAGGCCACCACCAACAACAATAACAACTACACCAACAACAATAATATTGTGCACGGCAGTGGCATGGAAGGAGTGATCCTGAACTCGTGCGCATCCGGGAGTGACAACAACGACAACAACAACAATAACAACACTGACGGTGTGGTAAGTGCGACTGGGCATTCTCTTCCCCCCCCCCGCCCCTTCCCCCCCTCTTGTTTTCTTTCTTCCGGTCTTCCGTTGTGTTGATTGGGGGGAAGGGCGAGTGGGTCGGTCAAATGGATTGGTCTGTAAAGTGGAAGGGTGTGCGGGGGAGCAAGGAGTGGGATGCTGGCGCGGAGGGGTAGGATAACGAATGCCAGATTGCCAGGTCGGATAGGGTTGTCCGTGGTTGGTTGGCTTTACCGCATCTGTCTTTGGCCACGTGGCAACAGGGCCGGTAGGGTTTGCTCATGTGGTCGTTCATTGATATGTGATGTGGAATTGGCGATTTTAACTTCTGTTACGTGTCTATACACATAGGATTTGGCCACGTGGTAGGGCTGGAGGTGCTTTGAGGATCGGCACTGGGGCTGCATATGCGATTGATTTATGCTCTGCCACGTGGGTATTGCGATTTGACCTTTTTTCAACTTTTCCCACTTGAGCGCACCTTCGATTAACCAGTTTGCTGGTGGGCGCATTGTTTTTGCTATAAACATAGGTTTCTACCACGTGGCAGGACAGGAGGTGCAGTGGTATTAGGCATCCGGAATGCTTATGCGATTGATTGGTGTCCTGCTATGTGGGTATTTTGCTTTGAATTGTTTTGCAACAGTGCCTCCCCCACTTGAGTGGTTTTGCTGCCAAGTAGGATCGTGGGGGGCATATTGGTGCGGGCAACCTTAGATAAGAGATTGTAATAGTGAAACTGGTTTTCATAGGTCAGGGCTTGATTTGGTTGGATGATCTTTATGTATAGACTTTTTTCTTTTTTTCTTTTTTTTTCTTTTAATAAAACACCCTGAGTAGATAGATGCTAGGGTAGCTGATAAGAGCAGACTACCCTAGCATACTCTGGGGGGCTCCATCTATTTGTGGGGAGCAGCACCTGCTGGAAAACGGGTCGGATGATCTTTACGTATAGACTACAATTTTCTTCGAGCTATTGTGCTCCCCTTTGGTCTGTGTCTGTGTTAACTACTGCTGTTTAGGGGAAGCCCGTCGCAATTACTAATGAACTACTAAACTTTCTTGCCCTGTAACAGTTATCAATCTCTGTGCCTTATTGATATCTCCCCTACTTCTCACCGTGTAGAAGATTGCAGTAGGGATAATTGAGGAGTTTCGTAGGGCAGAGATTGATTCAGCACACAACGGGGTTAATCCTTCCTCACTGGGGGAGCAATCAATGCCCTGTGGCTCTGCTACATTTGTGTTATGCATGGAAGCTGTCTCCAGGGGAGCAGTGGCTGAGGCTCTTCCAGCCCTAATGGGAAGAAGCGTGCATATAAGTGTTGTAATCAATTTCATAATTGGAGCCTTGGTCACTGGGCCCATTCTTAAAAAAAAAAAAACAAAAAAAAAAACAAGAAGATGGGTCAATAACATGGAAAAACTGGTCAACAAACGAAGCTCAATGGCACCTGACAAGGCTACAACGCTTCTTTATCCCCTTCGCAGGCGACAATACAAGAGACGTAGTTACTGTACCAACCTCGGCTCAACCTCAGCAACAACAGCAACACCAACAGGAGGGGCATTCACCACCTCTGCCACCTGACTCAGGGCTGGACCCTCCCATTCCCACAACAATCCCCACCAATAGTTGTCCCCCCACACCGCACTATTCCCCTCGCTTCCCATGATTATCCACCAGAGACACACCCCACCCTCCCATCTCCCCCCTTCGGAGTCCCTCAAAGCTGGAACAGCTCCCCCACGGCAACCTCCCCCCCCTCCTCCTTCCCTCAGCTAGCCCTCTGTGTCCCTCCCCTCCCCCCCTCCCCCCTCTCCATCCCCTCTCTCCCTGTATGCCAGCCAGGCAAGGACAGGGAAGGCAGCCTTCCCAACATAATGATGTTGCAGGCAGGGAATAAAGACTTGGCCATATGGGAAAAGAAGCCCATCTGCTATTACCCCCCACACTGAGGAAAGGGGTACTCTATGGATCTCGACGAGGAAGAGTGCCCGACTTCTAGAGTAGGCAACTACTGAGCTTGCAACTGCATTTGTGAATTGTGTTGCTGTTGCTGCAACAACTGCTGCTGCATCTGCAGGCTGCAGCTGCTGCGGCCGTGTTTGTTGCTGCGGCAGAGGTTCAGTTCCCGATGGTCGATGATCCACGTGGTAGATCTGTATTTGCTGCTGCTGATGTAGGTGCTCCTGCTGCTGTGGCAGCTGCATCTTCAGAATCAGTAGCTGCTGCTGGTGCAGCTGTGACAGTTGCTGGCTCTGCTGCTGCTGCTGGAGGTGGGGCTGATGTTGCTGGTGAAGTTGTGGGTGCTTTTGAATTGCATCAGCTGTTGCTGTTGTGTCAGCTGGCCCCGTTCCCGCTGCGCAGGAAGTTGCAGCTACGGACACCGGTCGTGCTGCCACTGTTGTTTCAGTAGCAAGTAGGCCTACGCTGGCTCCTGGCCCACGTCCAGCTGTTCGGTGTGGTAGTCTTGGAACTCCACTTACAGTTCGGGGTGCGGGCCGCCACTCCGGTGTATGTTCAGCTCTTTCCATTTTCCCTCTGCTTTCCTTTGTTCCTCCTTATAGCTGTCCAGTTGTTGCTGTACCTCCTGATTAGCTCATTCAAGCCAACTGCAGCTGATCTAACGAGTAGGGTAGAGTATGATGGTGTGAACCCTCGTCCTCTTCTGATCATTTGTCATCGCTGTCTTCTGCTTGTGTGCTTTGTGAGTGGCCCGCTTGGAGTTCAGGCCTTCCATTGTGATCTGGTGCTCCCCCCCCCCCAAAAAAAAAAGTGGGGCCATTACCCTTCTTCGGCTGCAAATGAAGCTCAAGATATGATGACACAGGAAATGTAGCTCAGCTTTATCCAGGCTGATCGTACCCAATCCCACGACATTCTTGCTACATAGCATTCCCACCACAAGTGCTTTTCTGTTTCCACACCCTCTTCACATGTCTTGCAGTTTTGTCTATTCTCATTCCTTTTGCTTCACATCAACTGGCCGGTGGCATAGGGCCTCGCTCCACTACTTAGCACAGATATGTTTTGGTAAGTGGCAGAGTTGCTATTCATGGAATTTTCTGATGAATTTTTCTGAACGTACTCGTTATGGGACGCTGGGCCCGGTTCCCAGTTTGTGCCATTCGGTGAGGACATGGTTGTATCTATGGGACGCTGGACCCGGTTTCCAGCAGGTGCTGCTCCCCACCAATAGATGGAGCTTGTTTCCAAAAAAAAAAAAAAAA